CCCCCCCCCCCCCCCACCGGTTCGCGTTTGTTTGGTAACAATAAACGTCATAGCTTAGACATAGCCTCCGAACTGGACACTAGTTGCGAGCCTTGATTGAAAGAGGTCATCATTGATAAAATAAAAAGTCAGTCGAGCATTTTAGTTTTATTATAGGACACTTTGATTTTAATAAGTTTGTTGAATGCTGGAGGCTGAACTATGTTGCCTAATCACTAAGATTAACCACTTTTTTCTTCAACCGAGAGATGTGGATCAATAATTTGCTCCCCGGTTCAAACCAGAGCTGAGGTTCAACTCTTTTCTGTGCATTGAGGGGTTCAGCCAATATTTTCTTGGTTTCGATTATCATTACTATTAAAGGACAACCCATCATTCAATGAAATAGGGGTCGGCGCTCCTAACCGCAGAAATGTATCCATGAGTTGTACTGTCCACCCTAGGCGGTCTGCCCAAGACAGCCCCATTTCTGGTTTCGATTAAAAATACTAAAAATATGCATTTACGAAGATTTCGTCCGAACAAAAAACCAGAAATCGTAAAAAAAGAAGGGTCTGCTAATTAAAAAGTATATTGTACTCCAGTACCCCACTGACCTAGTAAACCCCCTGAGTTCTCTGAAACTGAAACCATCCAGAGCTGGGTTGGATCCTTATCATCCTGCAGTTCAAACCTCAACCCTGAGACAAACAATATTTTTTAAATTTATACGGAAAAAGGCCAAATGAGCTGATTTATGTAATTTTTTTTAGATATCAATGTTTTTGTTTCTTCGAACTGTTTATTTTCTTTTGCAGTTTCTCTGAGAACATGACATGACTATAAGAAGTAATGGAGAAACTCTCCGAAAAAAACGATTTTCGAGTCCGGAAAACGACGGTATTTTCCACATTTTTTTAATCAGACTAGGTTACCGTTGTAAATCGGGCATTACAATCTTTACATGGAAGACCATTGAAATTATGCTTACAGTCTCTTTAACACATTGCTTAGAAATCACGCCTCATCACCTGATTTTATATGATCTCCGAATGCAGTTGAGTTGGTTGGTTCAATATCCTTCTCAAGGAATATCCAAGATCGTTCCTTTCCTAGTTTCTCTAGGTCCTTGTAATAACTAGGAGATAGGTTTGAGTCGGAGTCGGAAGAGGAGGGAGGTTTAAGATTCGTCTGTGCATAACCAAATCTTCGAATTCCTAAAATAAATAATGAATTAAGATTTACCATCCCCATCTCATCCTGTGCCACTAGCTGTTCCGATCCGTATCATCTCGTCCCCGCATCCCGTCCCATCCCATCCCATCCCGTCCCGTCCCGTCCCGACCCTAAACCNAGAAATTGAGGAGAATGTGGCTTCCCGTCCCGTCCATCACATCACTAACCTGCCCTGCTGAGATTGTACCAAGAATACTCTGGATCTGGATTGAACTGAATACTAGGATTCAGGTAGGAAATATACAGGAGCTGACCGCAAATTAGTTTCACGTGTGCAAACCAGTAAACACCGGATTCTAAATAATTAACAAAAGAAGAATTGAAAATAGTTATCCCCTATCAATTATAGAGTTTTGATCGCTTTCTTTTAATTCTTTTTTTAAATAATAATCTTTATAATTTTCCCCATTCACCAATTTAAATCATCTAAAATTAAAAAAAAATGTCCTTCTCGTTTAAGATTGATCTTTATTAGCATATAAAAACTACACTTTCTTACCATATTCTATCTCACAAACAGTGTTTTCCGAGATAATAGATCTAAAAATACAAGCTTTAAAGGGATTGTAAGTGAAATATTATTCAAGTGATCTTTGAATAGAAAAAGTGCGTTGCATTAAATTAAATACCGCGGATATTTTCCCAAAAAATTAAGACCTCGTAGCAGATTACATTCAAAAGAATCACTCACTAAAAAAATCTACCGGAGGTTTAACTTTAATATTTTCCTTTTAGTTTTTGATACCTTTACCACTAAATTAATAAACTTTAATCGCAAAAACAAATTTTTCTTACGTTACGAAGAAAATAATTGCTTTTAATTTTAAGAAAACTAACCTTAAACTCTGTTCAACATGAGTAAAACTCTGAGGATCAGCACCACAAGAGTTCGTCATTGAGAGATAACTCTCCCAGTCAAAACTCATTTCATTCTGAAATATAAGGACTGGTGATACCAGTAGTAAACACAGGACAGTAACTGATAGTCTAATGGTACAAACACGATTTTGAATACAAATTGCTTTTATACTGAAGTGTGAAATTATCAAATGCTCCGGGTTTCGCCAAAATAAGTTTCAAGTCCTTTTCAGAAATCAAATTTGCAATTTTCTAAAGGGTTATCAATTACATTCAAGAGCTTTACTAAACCATTGCTAAGTTGTTCAACAGATTTTGTTTTAACTATATTTTTAACTATTTCTCTGAGGGCTCTTATAATGATGCTATTACTGTATATTTATGACGGACAAGTTGAACATTTTTATCTGGATCTATGGTAAGAATCTGAAAAAAGCAAAATTTGACTAATTCTACAATTTATTGAAATCCTTAGTCCAATGATCAATAATTACGCCTTAATTAAGTATCCTGAAAGAGGCAGTTCAGGTTAATGCCCAGTTTTCGTACAGAACAGCACCGTATGTAAAACTGATAATGTCTAAGTATAAAAATTATAATATAAAAATATTTGTCTAATACAATGACTGGTTATTCCATCTCGTCCATCATTTCGTCCATTGTTAAAACATTTTTATCCTTTTCTTTTTCCTTTTCCCCCTTTTCCTCATACACCGGACCACAGTATACTTCGGAGGTTTCTGACCACTCTACGGCAGCCGCCGCCGACCTTGAAGCTTCATGAACAACTTCTGGACAAATATCAACTTCTGCTCGTGTTGTGACTGGTTCAGTAGACGCAGAAGGACCAGTAGAAGATCTAGGAGTTTCTTTATCATTATCTAGATCAATTTCTTCATCTATATGCAGACGGCGAAGAACATCTTGATCTTGATCTGGTCGGTTTTCTTCCTAAAATTAAAATTGTAAAAAATAAGAATTGTCAGAGACTGAAAATAAACAAAACATATAAATTGATGGAAATTTCGTCCCAACTGGGTTTACCTCAAGATCTCTCATCAACTCGTCCTCCTCTTCCTCTTTCCTCCTCGCATCCTCCCTCTCCTTCTTTTTCCTGGCGGCCAGCTCCTTGTTCCTCTTCATCCTTTCCAGCTGCTCCTCGGTCAATCTGCTGCTCCGGGGACCAGGGGAGCTGTGCGAGAGAGGGGCAGCAGTTCTACTGGTCAGTTGCTGGAAGGGATCAATTTCAGGTTCGCCCTCCCCACCATCATATCTAGAGTAAGTAATCCTTTTTGAGTTTCAGAACTTCATAATGAATTAAGAAAAAAAAAAAACACTTTATGGGGATAAAAATTGCACAAAATAGGGATAAATATTCACCAAGCAAAATCTTGGAAAGGGTGGAAGATCAATAATTAATATAATAAACTATTAAGAAAGATAGCAAGTTAGTAAGTCCGTAAACGTAAACAAACTTATCGATTTAGACGAATTAAAAATTCTTGCGACACGCCAGTCTCTAAATAAGTATTTATTCATCTTTATTTTATTTTATTTCTCGGTTAAGTCAGAGCTATTGAAGGGATGGACACTAAGGCATGATTCTCAAAGCTTTTAAAAAGAAAACTAACGATACAATTTATCAAATTTACTTTCAAGCATTCTAAGATTCTTCAAACTTTATTTGTGTTGTACATGCTCATTTTTTATATTATAAAATAATCTATAATTGACTGACCTTTCGACCTCCCTCTCCACTGCAGCCTCAACCCTGTCGTCCACGACCTCCTCCTCCCTGACAGGGTTCACCAGCATACCCATCCTGATCTTCTTCACGTGGGTCGTCACAACCTTCTTGTTCCCTAACCTGAAACAAAAATTATATTTTAAGATTTCCTCCTGGTTACAGACTCATTAGATCAAATCAGGATTCCAAGGATAACTATACCCCCCCAACTCCTCCAACGATGTTAGACATCGCTGAACGACAGAAAACAATCAAATTTTGGACAACAAGTTAAGTAACAAAGAAAAATGGCAGTAAGGTTTTTAACCACCCCTTCTCATGCCCAAATCTTCGATTATCATTTGATTAAAAAACCCCTATATTTGTGGTTTTTTGTTAAAACACTCCTCAGGAGCAGTTAGATATTAAAAATAAGTTAAGATTTGAAATTATAAAATTTTAACTAGTTTTCTATGATACCCCTCCCCTCAGGCCTCACCTGTTAGCAATGATATCCAGGGTATCATCAAAAGGAAGTTTAGGATAAAGTCTATGCGCCCAGTGGTTTAATTTATGCATTATCACGTCCAAATCCTCGAATTCTTTACCATGTCCACTAGGCTTCCAGTCCTACAATTTATACTGAATCAAACTCGATAAAAATTTTGATTCAAACTTTATTGAGTTTATTTCATACCTCAGGTTCAAAGGTCAGTGAGTCAAAGGTACAAATGATAAAAAAACTTCCATCACTGGCGTTGAAACTTTTTTTTCTCTCTTGAAAAAATAAAATTTCTCAACAATATAAAACAATAAGAAAAGTAAAAAGAAAATTCCCATGCATTCAAAATAATAGATACTGGTGAACATGAAATGGATTATATTTGCCTGATACCTTAAACTATAGATACTGGTGAACATGAAATGGATAATATTTGCCTGATACCTTAAACTATAGATACTGCTGAACATGAAATGGATTATATTTGCCTGATACCTTAAACTATAGATACTGCTGAACATATATTTGCCTGATACCTTAAACTATAGATACTGCTGAACATGAAATGGATTATATTTGCCTGATACCTTAAAAAGTTCTTCTATTGTATGAACACCTCTAGGCCCCATTAATCTATCTGCATTTAGTTTAGGTTGTGGATTCTTTATCACTCTCTTCTTCTTCTCTCCGCCATCTGCCCCGTCCATATTCGCCGTGGCATTCATCTGTGTACCCCCATCTCCTGATTATTATTATAAAAGCTAAAATTTCAAGATGTTTTGAAGGTCTTTATGTAAAGTCGGAACTTATGATTTTTTTTATTTGCAATGCTAACTAAACTCTATATTCATTGTGGAACATTTTAAATAAGTGCTTATACGTGAAGAAAACAGCTCATTATTTTTTCTTTATCATTATTATTTTCTTTAGCAATATTTTGGCATAGAGCTGATAGTTTTAGTTTTTGATTGGTCGGAGCTTAAGGGAAATCATATATCAATCGGACTACTGCCTACTTAAGTAAACAACACTACATTAGTGCCGACCTCTGTTCTATATACTTGACATTTAGTTAGCAAAAAATAGGATCATCCATAATTTTATTTATATAATGTAAACAAAATTTCAGTTGAGCTTCAATTGTTAAGTGGTAAACCCGATTCAAAACAACAGAGTACGAATTTAATGAATTTGAGCCGCGTCTCGAATCCACCAAAAAAAACGGTTTCGACTGAGATCTTGAAAAATTAAATACAATTTCAAGCGGAACCAACCATAGTTCTCAAATTCTTTAAATTCGGCCTCAATATTCTTCAATTAAAACTTTATCTGAGCAACAGAGAGGAAGATAATATCATTTTCCTCTTTTAATACGTTTTCAATACCGACAATTACATTCACTGTCTCTGCACTATAAATCCGCATTTCACTACTATTGAAAATAATCAAATTTTTACATAAATAGAAATAGTTAATAAATTTCTGACCTTGCGTCTGATCTTCGTCCGGAAACAAGCTGGCCTGTTCCTCTCCTACAAACAGTCCGGACATATCCGCTTCTACATCAACCCCCGCCATTTTGATTTTCTGAAAATATAAAAATATATTCGTACTAATCTATTTTACATGAAAGGGTGCAGGTACTTTTCAGTTCGTATTTTTACGCCTAGGATTGATTTACATAATTATTTAGATTCAAGTAAATGCGGGAAAATATTAATTGATAATACTATATACAAAGAGTATATTATTTTTGTATTAGCGGAAGATACTAGGCCTATCAATATCTATATATTCTCATTGTTTGAAATTAAAAGTTAATACAAATGACAGCTCTTGCCGAATATCTAGATTGACAACCAACTTCAAAAACAAATGTAGCAAATGCGTAAGACAACTGGTAGTTTTTTGGTCACTAAAATATTTACTAAATTCTTGGTCCCTATCTGGTGGTTATATATGTAAGTTAAAACTAATCGTTAATTATATTTAAGATGTCAAGCTTCTCCTTAACCATCCTCTAAACTTATCAGTAATTTCTTCCTGGAGGTCAATTAAGTTGAGATCATCTTCTAGTTGATCTCCATCTCTGTAAGAGGCTGCTGAGATTGAACCGAGTTCTCTGTTTCGTTACTCTGAAAATATTAAAAAAAATTGACAAACTTTAATATATAAGTAAGATTAGGTGGGCTTGACATCATCAGTTTACTCGAACGACTAGAACTGACAAAATTTTTAATTTGATAATTGATTATCAAGGTTGTTTACTTTCATCACGCTCCTCTTCTGACAAAAATTTTGAAAGCTGAATGCTTCTTTTTAATCGGCCATTATTTCTTCTTAATTTTTTAAACTAAAAATTTGGCGGATTTTCAGTTTTCAATTAGCCAAACTTACATATAATATATATTGATACCTTGTTTGTTATTGGATGGCTATTGGGAGTTCCTACAGCCTCAGGATTAATAGTTACACTTTTAGTACAATTGTAGGTTTTATAGATACCAACCAATCGGTCTGCCAGCTCAAACATATTAGACCTTTACATAAAAAAAATAATATATAAGTTCTCATACTATGTTTTAATTTTCAAAAATTAAGATAAAGCATGCAGTAGCTTTCTGTACAGACATTACAAAGAATGAGAGTATTAAGCTTTGACGGAAAATTAATTTCTTTTTACGAAAAAAATTAATTTTTATCTACAAATTTTTAAAAACCAACAAGTCAATTACTGTATTTTTAATTAACTATCTTCTGAATTTAGATGAAAAAGATTTTGACTATTATTTTTTTATAGAAAATTGAGTCAAATATTAAATATTAAAAAATTCAATATATATTTAGTGTGAATTTTTTATCTATATTATGTAAAAAAAAGCAAACGTATTTTTCTTTTTGAATAATTAAATGAAGTCAATCATTATTAATTTAATGAAAAAGATAAATACATTGTTATCTGTTTTATGTTATAAAAAGTTGAACCTGAGACTGATGATGATGAATTGTGCATTTCTAGTTCTCTCCTTGATATAGTTTGCAACTATGGAAACGTTCTTGAAATCCAACGCGGCATCAATCTCATCCATCACGTACAGGGGTGTGGGCTGAACAAATCACGTGAAGGGGGGGGGGGGTATAGACTGAGCATATTCAGGTCAATTAAACGTAACCAATTACATTTAGGGGTGTAGACTGTAGATTGTATCAAATCAAATCAAATCAAATCAAATCAAATCAAATCAAATCAAATCAAATCAAATCAAATCAAATCAAATCAAATCAAATCATTAGTTGCAGGGATGGCCTAAGACTCCACACATCCAGGTTAATAAACTGTAACAAATCACGTACAAGAATTTAGGACTTGGGTGAATACATTTAAAGATAATAAAATGTAACCAATCACGTAGATAAGTCTTATTTCCCATTTCTGAACTGTAGAACAAATGTTCGGCTTCTTACTAGCTAAAATTATGGGTTTTACATTTGAAACAGATTAAATTTGTGTTTTTAATCTCCCCACACATTTTTTCAACCCTAAAATCACAAAAAGGAGTTAGGAGGGTAGGAAGGCCCGCCACATCAATTTCTAGTCCGAGCCACATTCTCCTCATTTTCTCGTCCGAGTCACCTTGAAATCCTCGTCCCTCGATTATTATGTGTTAAAAAGTTTCCAATTCTCTAAGATAAAACTATTTTTTTTAAATCTGGCCACGTTAAGCCTTAAAATATGGATAGACTGAAGTATTGCAATGATTGGATCATGTTGTTCAAACCCACGAGAATGATGTCAAACTTTATTTAGGTAAAACATCCATCTCTTCTGCCTCCATTATGGCTAACCTTCGCGATATAAAATAAATAGCAAAATATTTGGTATATCTCTGCCTATCATTTTCCCTATGGAACCACTCAGAAAAAAATCTATGGTTTTTACTGATATGTTTAAAAGTCTCCAGCCTATTATTTGTCAGAACAAGGCTGTTTTTGTTATTTTTCTCTTATAAATCTTTAAATAGAGAGTGGCCCGATTCTTTAAAAATAGTTTAATCTGGGAGGATGAGACACTTAAAAAAATAGTATTGAAAGGACGAGAATTTTGAGGTGGCTCGGACGAGAAATTGAGGAGAATGTGGCTCAGACGAGAAATTGATGACGAGAAATTGATGTGGCGGGCCTTCCACCCCTCCATCACTCCTGTCAGCACTTTTCTAGCTAAATGATACAAGGTCATGTTAAGGTAAGGCCTGGTATACCTTGTAATAATGTAGAGCGAAGACGAGAGCCAATGAAGATAAAGTTTTCTCTCCTCCGGACAGATTAGAAATATTCTTCCAGGACTTCTTCGGAGGCCGGACACTGAACACAATCCCCTCCGAGAATGGATCCAGGCTGTCCACCAGCTCCAGCTCAGCATCTCCTCCTATACAGTAGTTAATATTCATGGACATTCCCTTTATTTTCATAGTAAAGAACAATCACGTCATCTTTATAATTTGGGAACAATCCTTTATTCCGGTGCAATCCCTTTATCATCATTTAGAATACAATACAATACAAAACAATCCTTTTTAAATTAATTGAGAACGATAATTTCTTTGAATTGAAGATGATTAAATACACTCCCATAAACTTTTTTATTTGTGAACAATTCCTTAATCTTCTATAATATAGAAACAACCCTTTAATTAATATGATCAAGAAACAATCTTCAATTACTTTTTGATTCAAAATTATTTGCTTAACTAAATCATCTAACAGTCCCTTTAGAAGTGAAGTCTACTGTCCCAAGGTGTTTACCTAGAGTGATCATCTGGTACATCTCCTTAAGTTTCCCGGTGATTATCCCGAAACCATCCATGAAGTCGGTCAACCGCTGCTTCCTGTAAAAAAAAACTAACTGTTTAAAGGGACTCTGTCAACGTAATTTATGAGAACTTGGTTTAATCCTATATTTAAGTAGTACTGAGTAAAGTGCTGCTGACTTTTATGAATTTTTAGGAAGAAAAACAGGAATATATTTTAACAAATGAAGCGTCACTTGAAATTTCATGACAGTGACTGTAACTTCAAGTGTATTTATGTATTTATAAAAATGATAACCTGAGATCGTCATGGTGTTTTCTCTGCTCGTCTCGAGCTTTCGTCATTTCGTCGAGTTCGGCCGCTCTCGCCATGTAAACCTCTTCCTTCTTCTTGTATTCAGCAATAGCTGCCATATTTGGCCTGAACAATGTTAAGTCAGACTTTTCGGGGTTAACTGCGCGACTGGCGGCATTACTGGAACAACTCATCATACGCTGCCTCACATTTTTCATTTTAAATATAACAATAACAAAGACTAACTTGTTTCGTTACATACACTGCATTCAGCTCAGAAATCATTTTATTTAGTCGATGATAGATCCGGATTTAAATCCAGCTCATGAACAGCTATTAAGTCCTTCTAATAAATTTGCATTGTCAAAAGTGCAGAATATGTTTGAACAGGTTTAAAAAACTGGTAAACATTTGCAGAATATCTTAAACCCGGTAAAAAAAACTTGAACATACCTCGTACATTGTCAATGTTTATTGTTAACATATTAAAAGTTTGCGGAATAAATTGTGAATCTGTATTCTGTATAAAAGCCAAGATAATGGAGAAGCTTAATGGGTGTACCTCATAGCTTGTAGTTTCCCGTCTAGTTGCTGAATATCCATATCTAGTTCTTCTAGATCCAGATCCAGGGCATCCAGTTCATCATCAGTATACACACGCAGCTCTTCACCTTCTTCATCAGGAACAACCTGATCAAATCAAATCAAATCAAATCAAATCAAATCAAATCAAATCAAATCAAATCAAATCAAACCAAATTTTTAGGGAGGAACTGAAGAAGTAAAGAAGTAAAGAAGTAAAGAAGTAAAGAAGTAAAGAAGTAAAGAAGTAAAGAAGTAAAGAAGTAAAGAAGTAAAGAAGTAAAGAAGTAAAGAATAACAAACTATACTAACCAGAAGCGTGAGTTTTCTAAGATCCCTCTTGTACATACTGATTACATTATTGAGTTCTCTTATCTGTCCATCTATTTTGTCTAACCTCTGATCAACCTAGAGAATAAACATTAAATTTCTAATAATATTTCGGGGAAAAACTTCATCATCTTTCCCTACTTATTTACTTTTTAATCTTCAAATATATTTTTGTTGTTGTTATTTTTTATCTTTTGTTTCTACCGTTAGTTTTGCAAGTTACTTAAATTTTCTTTTTTTAAGTTAGAAACACGAGAATACCTTCGTTATTTTTTAAGTTAGAAAATCAAGGATGTATTCGTCATATTGCTCAGCCTACAGTTTTAAGGGTACATTTGTGAATCAGGCATGGAACTTAGAGTCAATTGAAATTTCGTTAACAGTTCCTTTAATATAGTTGCAGGATCATCTATGAAGGATCCCTGGTTCCTACCTCTATCCTGCTGGACTTGAGCTCTGTCTCCTCCTTGTTCCATTTGTCCTGGATCTTCTTAAGCTCTCTAATCTGCTCCGCCATCTTCTCCATCTCCTCCTGGGCCTCGTTCTTTTTGTCCAGCACCTACAACATCATAGGTAGAATAACTATTCAAGAATATAACCAGAAGCCAGATTTAATGAATTTGATAGGTCGTTGAACTACCTACAGCCGCTTCTAATCCTGAACCACCGCTTTAAATATTCATAAATTTTAACATTGAATCGGTGATAAGGATTTGAACCGGCACGGCAGTAGGCAGTTCATCGACCTAGCTTAAATTATTTAAATTCGGTCTCAGATGCCAGATTTAATGAATGGCAAGAAGTTGAACCGTGCAGACTTAATTCAACCTCTTCTAAGTGCACCAGTTAAAACAAGCAGGGGTGTATATTTTCTTGAAAATCATTTCCCCTCCCTCAATTAGATTATAATTTGTGTCTCCATTTTCTTTTACCTTAGTACACAACACTTCAATCTCATCTTTTCGCGCTTTCATTTTTCGCATAGATTCTTCAAACTCCTTCTTCTCATCCTCGTAGCCTTTTATCTGAATAATAAAGTGGTTTATGAAATCAAATCAAATCAAATCATACTTTACCGCTTATATTGCTTAAGATGTCCTTTGTAAAGGTTTGAGTTTGAGATCTCATCCCCAACGTATTCATTTTTAGATGAAGAATCTTATAAAACTTTTTCAAAATTCATTTAAGATAATTTAACATTATTCACCTCATTAACGTCATTGAACCCTTTAAGATTTAATTTATTTGTTTGTCAAATTTTTTTTTAACAATTTAAACATGAACAGCAATGTCCCTTTTAACATAAACAGCATTGTCCTCTGTAACATGAACATAATACTTCTTAATTTGACAGAAAATATCCTTTTTAAAATCATATCAAGTTGATAAAATTTCTAAAATGTGAAAATTTGTTCCATATTCCTACCTTATCTTCACATTTCTTGATCTCCCTTTCACTTGTCTTGATCTCCACCTCCAGCCTTGTGATCTCCTTCCTCATCTTGTCCAACTGCTTCTGCGCATCATCCCTCTTCTTCTGCACGCTCTTGATCTTGCCTCCTGTGATCTCCTTGATCTTTGCGTCACAGTTCTTGACCTCCCTGTTCACCTCTTCAGCTGCCTCCGCAGCAGCATTGTACTTTACTTCAGCGGCATTCACGCGCTTTTCAAGTTCAGCAACCTTCAAAGGAAATTTGGACGTTAAACTCTAAATGAAAAACTTCAGTGACTTTATAAAATCAGTCTGAAGTAAGGCATTATATCCTGTTATGGATTTTTAATTTTCAACAGAAAAGGGGAAAGATAAATAATAAATTAAGAATTCCCCCCCCCCCCAAAAAAAAATAACTGAATCCGACCGAAAAAACATGTTAGGTGTTTGGGACCTCAAAATAAGGGCGGTAGCCGTGACATTTGTTTTATAATTGAGTTGGGTGTAGCCTTATCATACACGGTAGAAAACTATTAATAAAAATTATGAGATGTGCAGTGTTCACTGCTCTAAAATCAGGGCAACATTAGATAAGGCTTTTAGAGACGTCCTACTTCCCCCCATACTTATGGTCTTGTGGTTTGTAAGGTTTGCACTATCGAAGTTTAAGTGAAAATTTATTAATATAAAAACATTAATTTCTTTACTCAGATTGAAAGGTTATTATATTATTATTATTATTAAGGGACAACCCGGCATATGATGAAATAGCAGCCAAAAATTATCCTTTGACAACGCGGTCCGCAAAGCCCTTGGGAGAAGACTATTAAATTAAAAATCGTCAGGCTCAATGTTATGTGTTATGATTAAACCTACCTTCTTCTTATCTGGTTCTGCTTCCTTAACCCGGGCTTCCTGATCATCAAGCTGACTTTCACACATACGAAGCTAAATATTTTTAAAATTTAAAAATTAAAATTCATTACAACTGAAACCAACTTTACAATAAATAGAATAACTTTAAGGAACTTAAGACGTATATAATTAAGTGACTTACTTGCGGATTTAACATGCAGAGAAAAAAAGAGATTTTTTAAATTCAAATGACAAAACCTCCCTTCTTGATACTTAGAAGGTCAATAAGGTACCGTTATGAGGTTGGACAAGGCAGTCCCTTAATGAGGTTTGTACTGACCTGTTCATTGAGAGGATTAACTTCAACCTCCAGTTTACTCTGCTCTTTCTTCAGATCTTTGATCTCACGTCCCAACCTAATATGCAGTCAATTTATATACAGATAATTAGAGATCATAAATTAAATCCAAGATCATATTCAACATTCAAGATCAACATTCAAGATCAACATTCTAGATCAGGATCAACATTCTAGATCAGGATCAACATTCTAGATCAGGATCAACATTCTAGATCAGGATCAACATTCTAGATCAGGATCAACATTCCAGATCAGGATCAGGATCAGGATCAGGATCAGGATCAGGATCAGGATCAGGATCAGGATCAGGATCAGGATCAGGATCTACAAGAATCTAATGATCTACCTGATTATTAAGTCCTCTAGCTCTTGTCTCTTGTTAAACAACTCCCTGAAAATTATGTTAATCGTAAAAACTAAAATAAATTGATTAATTAATTTATCTTTTTACAGGGGTGTATGTAATTCTAATTTTATTATTCTTCCCCCCCCCTGAAATTTTTTGATTTCCTTCCCCAAATTCAATAACCAAAAAGACATAATTTTTTACTGCCGTGCATAATAAACCCCACAAAGTTGCATCTTGCAAAAATGCCGGCGCAGGCAATTTTTTAAAAAAACTTTTGGTATGGTTGTACTGGCAAAGAAGTTTCGATTGTTTATTAGTCAGTCCAGGGGTATTTTGATGGGGGGGGGGTGGGGGGAGGGGGTTTACTCTCAAATTCTTAATTTTTGATTTTTTTTTTTAATATGTTTGACTATTGAAGTTTTAATATGTTTAATTGAGTAAGGGGCATTCTTTAAACATATTTTGAATGAAATTATGCGCGAAGCGTTAAAAATTTTCATAACCCTATATTCCCCTTTCCTTTCTTATCTGCCAACCTTCCGTCAATTTTTTCCCTTCCCCTAACCTTCTCTACATTCCCCATAAATTCTCCTTCTACTTCCCTAACTTCCTTTTCCCTTCCCTACCTTCCCTGTCCCTTTAGTAGTTCCCTAATCCCTATTTTTGTCTTTCCCCCTCAACCTTCCCGTTTCCCTCGCAATCTTCCCTTTTCCCTCCCGACATTACCTTTCCCAAACTTCCCATTCCCTACTTTCACCCTTCCCTAACTAGCTCTTTCCCTAACTAGCTCTTTCCCTCCCTACCTATCTCCTTCCCTCCCTACCTTTCCCTCTTACCCATCTTTCTCCACCCATCCCTTTCTTCTGTTTGCCCTTTCCCTTTTACTTTTCTTTCCCCTTTTCCTTCCCCTTTTCCTTCTCCTTTTCCTTCTCCTTTTCCTTCTCCTTTTCCTTCCCTTCCCTTCCCTTCCTCTTTGATTTCTTTTAAATTTATACACCCCTGTCATAAAAACTAAAAAAGAAAACAATATTGAAATTATTTTCAATGTTTAATGTTCGTTTAATGTTCGTTTCATTTTCATTGAATATTCAATATTTTGACAAGCACAAATTTAAACCAGTGGTGACATTTCGAAATTATAATAGAGACAATGATGATTCCACTGTTTTCTGGTTACCCCCGTATATGCTGTATATCCTACCTGTATTCAGCATCTAATGTTTCAATACTTCTCTCCATTCTCTGCATCTCCTTAGGATCCGTCTGGGGGACTGCAGCAACCTTTTCAGCATTACAATGAATAAATGAATCGCCGCAGCAACTTTCAATCAATCAATCATCTCCTTAGGGGGGGAGCATCAAACTTTAAGCCTTACAATCAATTAATCAATATTTTCCTGGGGGGGGGGTCAGCTACTTTAAAACATTACAAACAATCAATTAATCAATCAATCGTCTCCATAGGATCTGTCTTTAAACATTTCAATCAATCAGGAATCAATTAGGTTGTCAACCAAATAATTAGACTATTAACTCATCAAAAATTTAATCTATTGGACAGACAATTTATGATGACAATAAAAAAATCAGACAATTAATTTATTATTTTATTAATTAAGCAGATTATCAATTAACTATGCATTCAAATAAACAAACATTCAATTTATCATACAGTCATTTAATCAGATATCCAACTGATATGATTAATCAGATATCCAACTGATATGATTAACCAGATATCCAACTGATATGATTAATCAGATATCCAACTGATATGATCAATTTTCTCTTCAAGATATATTTTTTTACCAAAAAACCTGCAAAATTAAGAAACGAGTTTTAACCTGTTGCCCCATTAGTCCTCTAAGTTTCTGTTTTCCTGTTCCAGACATAGTTCCAACAGTTTCAATCAATTCTCCTTCCAGAGTTACAACTTTATGCCTAGTATATCAGTTTTAATTAAAATTATAAGTTTTAAATAATTCTAATTATTTTTAAAGCAGATGGGTTTGGGAAATGTTAAAAACTCGCATTAAAAATTTAGATATATTTTTTTGTATGCGTGCTGTTAAAAACCAAAAAAACAGACAATTTTTTGGGGAGGGGGGGATTAGAGAAAAGGTATCGCTTGAAAAGAAATTGTCATTTGTTATTCCCTTTCCCTTAATGCGATTATCATTTATTAATAAAAATTTTATTTGTATATTTTGTATAATGCTTGAGGGATCAAATAGTACCTAGTAGCCCCGTACGCAATTTTGATTACGATATTACCTTGTGGCTCCGTACGCAATCTCTGATGCCTGATTCAGATCCCTGGCTACAAGCGTATCCCGGAAATAATGGTAGAACGCAGTGCGTAATCTAGGCTCGTTCACCTTTATCAGCAAATGTCAATCAACTCTAAGATCACCTTCATCAATTGACGCAATACAAGATCAAACAGGTAACCTTTATTAATTGATAAAATACACGATCAAAAAGTTTATTCTGATCAATTTATCAAATACAGGATCAAATGTTAATCCTTGATTAATCTAAAAACACATAATCATTTTACTAAATACAGATCAAATAGTTCACTTCATCATTTTACTAAAGAAATCAAATTCTCAAGTAAATATCAACATTGTTAGTTGTTACATTGATCTTTTTATCAAATACAAGAACAAATTTTTTGCTTTGATCAACTATTTAAAAATCAACCAACTTTATCTTAATCAATTTAACACATAGCAGATCTATCAGTCTAATTTTATCAATTTATCAAATACAAGATCAAGTTATGTTTGGATCAATTAATCAATTACAAACCTTGATTAGATCGAAGAGCCTGGGGACCCCTTGGGGTGCCTGAAACCTCTCATCACATTTGTTCTAAAATACAGAAAAATCTTAGAAAATAATGAAAGTGTTTTTTTTTGTAAAATAAAACATAATAATAAAAGATAATTTAACACATTAACAGCTTGCAACCCGTTAGCTGATAAATCTTAAGTATTAACTCTCTGAAAAGAACTTTCACTTCACCATAATTCTAATCCTGATATATTTTTAGCAACCTTAAAATATCGTTTAACTTTGATATGTTAAATTATGAAATCTCCTAGAACATAAAGTCACAGCACAGGTATATGTACAACATCCAATTGCAATTGTAGGAATTAAAAAATTTGAATTTCTAGCATATGTTCAGTTCCTTTCCACATTAATAAACACCACTTGATCAAAATTGAAGAATTACTTATGTAAGTTTGAAAAAAGGACGTATTACTATTCCGACGAACTCTTGATTTTCGCTCATGTACATTTTCCCTTATGTGTTTTTCCCCACCATTTCTAACCTGAAAGTGTTTGGTTTTGTCCAGAGCGAGGAAATTTGCTGTTCCTAGATTATTTTTCTTCAAGAACGCAATACACTGCTTTCCAGTTTCTACATCTTCAACTAACAAGTTATTCAAGGCTCCTTTGCCAACCGTAGACACAGCGATGTCATATTTCTAAACAATGTCAAGAAAAGTTAGAATAAGGGCATAAAATTCTTTAGATACTCCTTACATATCAATCATTATTAAAGTCACCGGTTTTCTTTTTGTGAATTAAGTGAATTAAATGAATTAAGTTAATGTCCATGTCATCCCCCCNAACCTATCATTCAATAATATAGGGGTTCAAAGCTCTGTGAAATCTACAGAAGTTACCAAGATCCTATATTTTAGTCCTGATCGAAGTAGAAATTAATGAATTTCAAGTTATATCTGACATAGGTATGGATAGTTAAAATACTTTTATGTGTGGCCGTTATTACAGTAGAATAGTAACTCAAACATTCCTATCACAACCACTTATCGCCATTAAATCCATCTGATCTTCAAAGAATTAAAAATATATCCAGATCGGGATATCTGAATGAAACGAAATCCGAATTGTGTCATTTCCTTCTCCTACCTTGTCAATAGCTCCTAGATCTCCTAGTCTAGCAATTATCCCGGGAATATTCCCATTCTTCTTCTGCTGGAGCAGAGCGTCCAAGACCTTCCCGTGGGACTTGGTTGCAGCCTGGGAGCTCCTCTTCTCCTCGTACTCCATCCTTACACCCTGCAGTTCACCTTTCACCACATCCAACCTTTCTGCTACCTAAATCAATCAATCAATCAATCAATAACCAATCGACCAACTAACCAGCTAATGAATATCTTTCTAACCTTCTGTGCTTCTCTCTGTGATGTGAGTAACTCCTTCTCCTTGGCAGGGACCTCCGTCTTCAGTTCCTCCAACCTAGCTCCCTTGTCCTTTAACTGATCCTTGGTGCTCGAGATGGAGTTCTTCAGCTGCTCCAGCCGAATCTTCTCCTTCTGGGCGGCCGAGGTGTAGATCGTCAACTCGTTCTGCGCAATCGTCAACACGGACTGGGATTCGTCGACAGTCTTCTTTAGTCCGATCAGTATACTTCCGTGCTTTTCTCTCTCGTCTTGGAACACCTTGAAGATATTTTTAATAAGTAATCTTATAGGACTCAGTTCAACCATATTCTTGCTCTCTGGATCTGAATCCGTAACATTAAAACTCTCTGGAACAAGATCCACAGAGAAAACATATGAGAGAATGCTAATTCAAAAAAAAATTATATTAAAAACAAGTAAAAATCTTTGAAAGCCAAGAAAGTCTCAGTATTATTGAATAAAAAAATTGTTAAGATTTGAAGAATGAGATGATTTTAATAGAAGTTGAAATGAATCTCCAGTCTCTATTCCTCACTAGTTCAGGTTTCCTTTCACCTGTGTTTCCTGACGAAGAGTTGCCATCGCTTTCTCATAGTTTTTCTCTTCTACTGCGACCTTCTCCTCTAACCTGCACAATACAATTTTTTTTTGAGAAAATCAAACCTGTATTAAAAAAAATTAATGATCCTCGTCTACACATGCGTAAAAAAAATTCAGCAAAAATGTTATTCGTTATGAACGTATAAGGAAAAAAACTATCCCCCTCCCCGTCATATCTTCCTCCCTACTTACTTAGCTTGCTGCTCCGTACACTCAATGATCTTCTCTCTGTTAAGCTCGGGGAGAGACTCCAGCTTCTCGTGCTTCTCCCTCTCCAACTGCATCAACTGGGTCACCTTCTTCCTCCTGAAGTTAAAAGTGAGGTTCAGGATATTCAAATCAAATAATATCATAGATAGATAGATAGGAATTAGAATGCAGATTTTCTAGTAATAGCATGATAGAATTAAACTTCAAATAGACTGTCCCAATTTCCCTATATTGTTTATTTACAAGATCTTTTTTTTTCTTAATTAACGTATATTCTTTCTTGCACCTATGTTACTCGTTACTTATAAATTCTTTTTTACAAAAATAAGAATTTATTAGTAACGAGTAACATATATACATAAATATGTCCATCCTATGAACGAACCTCCACCTACCTGACGTTAGTGCTTTTGCTGTCCTCACTGATATTCGCATCCTCAATCTCGAAGCTGTTGAACTCGGCCTGGTAAGTCTCGAACTTGGTCTGGGCCTCGTTGAAGTCCTTCCCCCTATCACCCATCTCCTTTTCCGCATCCTTCCTCTTCCCCTGAACCTCCTTCAACCTCGATGTAAGATCAGATACACTGCTCTCTATCTGGGCCTTACTTGTCTCATGCTGACTAAAAAATAAATAAGTAAATCAATCAATCAGTTTACCCTTCCACAACCAACCCACCCACCAACCAACCAACCAACCAACCAACCAACCAACCAATCAATCAATCAATCAACCAACCAATAAATCAACACATTTATTTATCCGTTCATTTATTTATTAATTCTTCTTAATCACAACAGGGCTTGTAAGAAGTATCAATACGTTATCTATGCCTTTTTGGGAGGATTGGCATTATCAAGAAACATTTTATTTCAAAGAAGAAAGGATACTTATTGAGTGAACTAACCCGATTTCCTTCTTGCACTGAAGCATGCCGAGCTGTATTCTCTTGTTCTTCTTGTGCACTCTCTCATTCTCCATATGTATACAGTTGAGGGCCTCTTTCATTGGCCCCTCCAGCTCATCCTTCTCCTTCTCAACCAACTTCACCCTGGAGAACACAGCAAGGATTAAGAACTGAAATCTTAATGTCAGCTGCTTAATAATTAAAAAAAATTAATCGAATTTTCACTTTTTGTAGATCCTTCGCGTAGAAGTTTTATTTTAATGCAAGAGCAACCCTGTATATACAGATATAGTAAAGTTTATAGAGCCCTGGAAATAGGAAAAGAATCAGAGATACAATCTAAAAGCCCTCCCTGTACGTTCGACATTGACCGCCCACGGGGTTAAGAACCCCCCCCCCCCCGTCCCGGCCTTTAGAACTCATAATGGAGAGATACCACCAGGATACGGAAACTTGTGCAGATAAAAAGTAAAAAAAAACTGCTGTATAAGAATAACACCTTGGAGCGCAGAATTTTCGATGATCTACGGGAAAAATGAAATTTTGGACATAAATTATTCATTTTCCACAAAAATCATTTATTTTGTCATCTGTAATCAGATTTACATGACTTAACTTTAGACGTTTACATTAGTTAATTCTTTAAAGGATCAAGGTGGTTGATTGTTAAACCAAGATGAAGAGATGTGCTAACCTGTTCAGTTTCTCAACCCTCTGTTCGTTGAGTTCAGATACACGTTGGGCCAGCAGAGCTATTGGATTCTTGAACCTAGGATACAATTTCTTATTTCAAATCAAATCGAATCGAATCGAATCGAATCGAATCGAATCGAATCGAATCGAATCGAATCGAATCGAATCGAATCGAATC